CTCCTAGGCATTCACACAGCATCAAGGCAGGGGGCCACACAGTCAGGGAGCCACCACCAAGTAGCAAAGCAGTTTCTGTTACAGATACCCCCCCCATCACCAATAGCGTGGGCACCCTAAAAACATCATTTTAAGCAGATATGCTTTGGGACTGAAATGGAGAATTTCTGTCTTCTCCCACCGAGATGTGGGTCCTCTATTACTTTAACACTAGGTGGTGGGTTTGCTTATTGAACTATACATTATCTCATACAGTCTTTTAATATCTCAGAGAGGCACCTGAACTAAGATTGTGATAATATGCAAATGTCTCAAATTTAATTGATTCAGTAAATCAATTCACTAGTTAAAAGGAAGGCAATTAATCAACTAAAATTCTTTAATTGGTTGACAGCTCTACTTCATTATCTACTGTGTACACACTGTGGTTTCTTTTTTTAATATAGTATATTTATTATTATTACTATTTAATTTGTAATATCAATTAGCCTTCAAAAACATGGCGGGAAAATCAATTATAAACATCCTGAGAAATTCTAAGCCCATGTTCATGGCAGGACCGTAATAAGAACTATATCAAAGGCCAAATTCAGAAGCCATGGGATTTCTATCTGGCACTCACAGGTTGCATCTATTAAGAGATGGCCACAGGAGTCTAGAACATCCTGAGAAATTCTAAGCCCGCATTCATGGCAGGACCGTAATAAGAACTATATCAAAGGCCAAATTCAGAAGCCATGGGATTTCTATCTGGCACTCACAGGTTGCATCTATTAAGAGATGGCCACAGGGGTCTAGAACAGTTGTCAGAAATGTGTGGCCTCCCAGAGGTTGTTGAACTGCCGTAGTCACCATGGCTAAGGGGTAAAAGACATTGGGAACTGCAGTTCAACTGACATCTGGAGAGCCACATTTGCCCTCGAGTAAGGCCTGCTTAAAAAACAAAACAAACAAAAAACCCCCATTAAGCCATCATTCTAGATGCATCCCCCCCCCAAACTCTGTTCTGCTTAGCATGGACAACATTTATTCATTTGTAGACGTGGTCCTCCAAGGGCTGTAGGCCATCCCACAGAAGTTATTAGAGACCATCTTTGGGGGTGGGGGGTGGTGGTGGCAGGACCAAAGGTGAACGAATGGGATTTTTTAAAATTCCAGCATATTTTAGCTGAGAGGTTTAGCTTAAGCTATGCCAGCATATTTTACCTTAGATGAGACATTTCTATCTGTTAGAACAGGAGAATTGGTGGTGGTGGTGGTATCTAATGAAGGTCTAATAGGGGTGGAGGTGTCATCCTTTTAGGAAGTGGAAGGGAACCGACTAAGGCTCCAGAAAGGTCAGATTCAGACCCAGGGCCTGAGATTTCCAACCCCTGAGACCAAGCTAGTTGTCAGTATCCTGGGTCCCACAGTGGCCCATTCGATTCCTCCAGGAGGCCCAGAAGAAGCAACAAAGGCCAAAACCTGACTCAACTATTGATTCCCAGTATCCACAGAACTGCTGCTTTCCTCGTGTTCAACCTTCAAGATTCAACAGTTCAGTGTGAAGCTGAAGCATCCTTTTCCACCCAGCAACAGAGAAATTTTGAGACTCTCCCCCCTCCCCAAAGAGCTAGATTGCAACCTTATTTCACCCCATCTCAGTTCAAATTGTTGAAACACTGCATTGTCAGAAACAATGACATGATCCTTTCAAAACACAACACAACAAAAGAACCCTTGCAGAATGAAAGGGTAGGTCACCAAGATCTGTGTGTGTGTGTGTGTGTGTCCTGGAATGGTGCACCAGAAGGGGGTCAACTGTGACGTTTTAAAAAGAAGTGACCCTTACTCTGACCCACCAGAAAGCCGTGGACTGGGAGACTTGTGAAGGTGGGAGAGATTGGAGGAAGAAAAGGGGAGGGAGGAAAAAAAATCAATGCGCTCTCTAAGATCTACGACTCTAGCTTTGCTGCAAATGCACATAAAGATTTATTCATCCAGGCTACATACATTTTCCAAGACAAAAGTCAATACTCACCTTGACACAGATACTTTCTACACCCTGGAGGGGGTGGGGTGGGGGACCTTCGATTTTCTGCTGGGGATAACAGTCCTCCTGCCACCGCTCAGAGAGTCCACACAGACAGCATTCAAATTTTTATTACTTTTCCTAACCACAGCTTTGAGGCATACGCATCATCATCATTAACCACCACCACCACCACCTGAGTTAACATCTTTGCCTACAGATATTGCAAAATCACACTGAGCCAAACTAACTGAGACACTAGAGGACACAATTCAGTTTTGTGCTAACACTGCCTTACTTTACATCAGGGAAAAAAGGCAAAAAAATCAACAAAGGTACCGTATTTTTCGCACCATAAGACACTTTTCCCCCACAAAACAGGGGGGTGGAAAGTCTGTGCGTCTTATGGAGCGAAGAAAACAGATTATATTTTCCTGTTTTCTTCCCCTAAAAAATTGGTGCGTCTTATGGAAAGGTGCGTCTTATGGAGCGAAAAATACGGTAATTTAGTCAACTTTCTAGTCCTTATGCTTATAAAAATCCTTATGGCAGTCTCGGAAGAAATCTTATAGGACTCAGCTAGATTTCAAGGGATCAGCCATTAGGGTCGCTACACATCCAGCAGGAAGGAAACATTCAAGTACCTGCTTAAACTGAGTAACGAACTGAGTAAAAAGGAATCAGAGTAGCCCTAAAGTGGAACAGAAAGGAGCACCTGGTTATATTTAAAAGCAGGACACACAGAGAATCTACTTGTTCATGTCCTTCTCAGTCCCAGAAGCTCAAGACACATTTGCAATGTTAATAAATATTGCAAAATAAAACACGTGACATTATAAAATCTTAAAATATGACCCCGTTTCAAATCTTGTCCCACTTTCAAAAGGCACTCACCACTTGATGAATCTGTTTGGATCCTGAACTTAGAGGGCTTACCCTGGCCTCTCAAAACAATGCGTAAGAAGGGGTAAGGATCAGCCGCCACCTCTTTTTTCCTCTGGATCTTTGTAGGTTTCTCACAGTAAAGAAAATGCTACTTTCATTCAAGATTTTTTTAAAGGTGATATAACATGTAAATTGTACATCAGAAGGAATGGTTTAATTAATTAGCCAGGCAGTTTATTGAAAGGTCTTTAATTGGTTAGCAGCTCCCTTCCCTCTTGTCAAGCTTGGGTGAAGGTTAGGATCACAAGAGGTAAACAACACCCTCTTTTAACCTCAGAAGTGAATGATATCCATGGTACTGGGCTAAACCGAGAAAAAAAAATTGACACGTGGATTTCTGAGGTTCCCACGGATTGAAATAAAGGGGTGGAACGGAGGACGAAATGCAGACAGGGCTGAAAATCAGACTTTGTAACTCTCTTTGCCTTCTTGATGGGACCATTGAACATGAGCTGTTCTACAGCCGTGCTTATTAGGTCTGGCTCATCTTCCTTCCAATACTAGGGGGTTTAAGGCAGCTCACAACAAGATTAAAGACCAGCACAGGCAAAAATATAAAACGTTACAATGGGAAGGGAGATTCAGAACTTGGAAGCAGCCACAGGGAAGGCGCTGTCTTGATGAGAGATACCAGCAGGCTGGGACTCATTTAGAAAAAAAATTAATGCTTTGTCCATCAAGTAATGCCAATGGTCTGCACTGTAAACTTAGCACATGTGTGTAAGTCAAACCCCTTCGCAGTATATTCCTTTAGTAACCCTTGGCAACACAACTTTCATTTTAAACATGTTTCTTTTCATACATACACATTTTGACCCTCAGAAAGACACACAACATCTCCCCATGACATTTAAGCCCATTCAGACATTTATGGAGGTAACTCATGAAACCATTTTATTCCTTTTTCAGGAGAGATGAGGAAGCTAAAATAATCAATATGAATGTTGTATTACTAGATACATATGCACATATTATTTATGCAAGATAATCTCCATTGGAGATTGATCACAGCAGGCTAATAAATCCACTTTATGAGGATTTAATTTCCAGCTTTTTGACCTTCTGAATAAAAACAAGTGAATCATCTTTCCCTTGGCTAGATTTACACCAGGGCTCACCTCTGCAAGGAAACATCCCCTTATGGGGAGAGGGACAGAAGAGGCCTCCGTGAATCCCCATCAGCAAAAATAATTAAATCTCTTTTAACTGAACCGGGGGGGGGGGGAACTCTTAAGAATCTATAGGTTGCAAAATTAAGTGTGTGTGTGGGGAACACAGGTATAAAGAAGGTTGTGGCTTCTTGTTTTAGATAGCCTTGGAACCATTGCTCAGAGGGTGGACTACAAGTCTTCTAAAAAATACAGCAGTTTGAAACTCGAAATTGTTTTTAACATATACAACCATTTCTTGTTATGATTTCTTCATTCTATCTTCTGGATTAGGCCCAGCGACAGACAGCATTGGATTCTGAAAAAGTGCACTGCCTACATGCTGCCCCATAGCACTGAAAGCACTCTCTGGGCAGTTTACAATATACAGGCTACACGTTGTCCCCCACCCCACCCCCACCAAGTTGGGTACTCAGTTTACTGACCTCAAAAGGACAGATGGCTAAGCCAGTCTCAAGCTGGCTAGACGGATCTGGGAGGTCACCAACTTTCTGGGCTAGTTTGTTTACTTCTTACATTTGTATACCGCTAACTTAGTGCAAAGCCTCTAAGCGGTTTACAACACCACAATGCAACAAAACTCATACAACCAACATAAACATCTCAAATAAACAAGCAATAAATACAAACTCAAGAAGAGGGAGACACACAGTCGGTGTGTATTAACAACAGCACAAGGACGCAGGCTTTGGCAAAGCTGATGCCAAACAGTATCCAACAGGCAATCAGTATAAGCCACAAACACTGACACTGTGAAGGTAAGGGCAAAGAGCCTCTGAGGCCGTCTCGTGCTTGGGCTGACACTGAGGGCAGAAATAACCAACACACTCTTGTTTCCCCAGTGATCAAAGTGTGTGTGTGTGCCCCCCCGCCCTGTGCATATGTTATTGCATCACAATTTCCAGAAGGACCAAAGCCAGCTGAATCAATCAGAAGAGAGGGGTTGGAATGGTTTTGAAGGCTCAGAGAAGGGTGGCCAAATGTGGTTGGACACACCACACCCACCCACTGCTCGGACACCTGTATCCAGATTCCAGGACGCACAATACCAAACCATCAAGGATGGTCTCCTCCTTCCAGGGGTGTCTGTTTGCCAAAGAGGGACCGATAAAGCTCCGTCCTGGTGGGAGAAGGGGAGAGAAGAGAAAAAGGTTTTATTGATTTCAACTCAGAAGAGTACGTGGCTCCCAAAAGCTCTAGGAGGTAACAAGAGAATGAAAATGAGTTGAACAGAATAGAGGCCCTGAACAGATCAGGAAAGGGAGAATGTTTCCCTAGAACAGCTCCCCGCTTTTCTGACTTAAGCTCATCAGGTCGCAAAGGTCAGCTTCTACGACAGGCCGGAGGTTTCCAGAAGATACTGAAGTGTGAAATTTGACAAGACCGCCGTGGCCGGATTTCAATAATGTCAAGCCGAGAGAGACCAGCCCCTCAAAAAACACCTTCTTGTGTGCTTCTCTGCTGACTAAAATTGATGCAGAGATCAAATCATTAGGAGAGCTTCAAAAGCCATTCCTCAGTGGCTGAACTTTGCTCCCCTTTAGGGGCTGTGGTTTCCTTTGGCACAAGCTTTCATGCGCTGCATCCCACAACGTCTTCAGGTCATCTGGAGAGAGCAACTAAGATAATCAGGGTCGTGCAAGCACCTCAAATATATATATATTACATTTTCTTTTTGACCCACCTGAGAGCCACTAAAGAACTTGCAAAAGTCACATGTTATTGTATGAACTATAGCTGATGTCATGGATCAATTAAAATGAGACAAGGGTAGGAAGACAAACAGGAGTAACGAGCAGTGAGCACAGAATTATTAACTCCATGGATCCGGGACATGTTGGAATTACAGCCACAGCCACGCCTTGTCTAAAGACTAACAAGCGCAAGGGAATGATAAATTTCCTAGCAAGATCTGATGCTCCAGAACAACCGTTCCCAACCTTGGGTCCCCAGATGTTCTTGGACTACAACGCTCAGAAACTTTTGTGACTAGAGCTGCTTGGCAAGATTTCTGAGAGCTGTAGGCCAAGAAACACCTGGGGGGACCCAAGGTTGGGGGAACCACTGCTCTAGAACCACGGAGAAAGGCTCTGTTCTGGGACCACCATTCATTGCATCTCTGATGGAGAGAAGAACCATCCCACAGATGGCCAATGGTGGGTGGAGGTTCACACTAAAGGGAGCAGTGGCTTAAGGGAAGGAGTGTCCTCCTGACAGAGGACAGACGTGGAGTCGGGGCAAACTCTTGAGCGTTGATGTGACTCTCTCCGGTGGGAGCACAACTCCCCGAGCTTTTTTCTCTCCTCATCCTAAACCAGACGTCCTCAACTCAGCGCCCTCCGAACACGTTAGAAGCTCCACTTCAGCACATCTGGAGATCGGCAGGTTGGGGAAGGCTGGCCTACAGCGCCTCCCAGGGCAGGCTCCACTTAAGCGATGGTGTCGTGCTCTAGCACTAACGGGAGAGAGTTAACCATTGGGGGGGGGGAGGCCATGGAAAGAAATGTAACTTTTCAAGGTCAGTTTAGAAGAGGGAAGCATCATCACCACTCACTGCTTCAGATTGGGGGGGAGGGGGAAGAGAGGCTGTGAGATAATTAAAATGCATTCAACAATCTTTATTAATAAACACCAAGGGCTGGGGATGCCTTGCATCTCGCTACCCTCTTGTGGCTCAGAAATATGTAAATACTGCACCAGGGCCAGACTCCAGCTCCCCAGGGAACGAGGTTTTTCTTCTTTCTATAAGTTTGCCCTTTCCAGACAAGGCTTTTCAAGGAAAAGAACAAGATTGAATATTTTAATTGGATGTATGAGACCATAGCACTGTACAGAGGACTCAACCAGGCAGGCTAGGGAGGAACTATAATTTAGTTTTCATATAAGTTTTTCTCCCCCACCCCCACCCCGGAGGGTAACACAGTGCTTGGAAGGGGCTGGGTGTGAAAACAACACAATAACAAGGGACTGCCAGCACTTATGTAAAAATGACATGTTTGTGTGTGTGTGATGTATATGCATACACACACAAACACAACTGACTGAGAATAAAGTTCACTTCTTTGAAACCTGCTCAGGCAACATGCAAGCAAAGCAAAGCAAAGTAGGTATTATAAAATCTAGGAGACTCTTTACCACAATCCAGTGCTGACAAAACTCTCCGGAATCCACTTGTAAAGCTTCTAGTCCTCATGCACAGCAAACAGTTAAATAAGATTGCCTAAGTGCTTGATTAAGATTCTTGGACCTTATTGTGCCTTTGAATTTGTTTTGAGGTTGCTTCTGTTGACCATCTTTTACTGGGGAATTTTTAAATTCCTTTTTAGTATGTGTGTACTTATTGTTTTAACTTTAAATGTTTCCTTTGAATGGAGTGAGCACCTTGGGCCCTTTTTCAGGAGCAAGGCAGGGTAGAAGTGTTTTAAATAAATAAATAAATTCTGCCTACAGTTGGATTTATATAAACAGCCAAGAATTGGAGGGGCATTATTTGGCACCCAAGTGGGCAGAGCTAACACAATTATTCATGTTCACTTACTCCAGTAGGCCCCCCAAATCTCAAAAGGCTTGGGAGGTGTTGTTTTTTTTAATGGGGAGGCTCCTCTTCACCCTTAAACAGCAACAATGAGGATCCTTCTGATAGGGGTAAACCTAACCTGCCTTAGTCCCTCAGCCTTAATTTTTTCTTCCAAACCTGGTCTTCTTATATGTTTCGGGCTTACGTCATGCTGCTTGTGCCAGGTTCTATTTCCGAACCTCTGTAGGGTGAAACTCAACCGGTTCTCAAGCCTCTCTGCGTCTGGATCTCCAAGCAGCTTTGACGCTTGGTGACAAAAAAGTTTTATAAATTAAACCAAAAGGAAAACAAACAAGGACTGTCTCTTGTGGCACAACAGGAAGTGTGATGGATTCAGAAACGAAAGCTTTGATTCATGACTCTGCTCAGCCAGGAAGACGGATGGGAGAAGGGGAACCGTCTTCAGCAGCAACGGGGCAGACCAAACGGAGCCCATTCCCAAGGCTGCTTTTGTGGCCCTCCACGACTCTCCAGCAAAAAACTAAAATGGGGGGGAGGAGTAACGGATTCAGGCTCAGGAGCCCCCGGTTCAATACCTTGGCTCTGGCATGGAAACTCACTGAGAGGAAGGTGCGACTGGTAGACCCTATTATGTTCTGAGGGCATCGAGCGACAAGAGGCTCACCATGCGTTCTCTTCCCGAGATTGCTGTGGTACTGTTTTTGCTTAAATTCCAAAAGAAGAGAGGAAGAAAAGAATTCCATGAGTTAAGACACGGCAGCAGTGCGGCCATTGTAAAGGCTGAATTTTGGATCTCATCCGTGGCACTGCACCAACAGAGAAAGCTGGCCCAGGGTTGCTTTATTTGGGGAGCATTTGCCCAACACATTGCTCTGGCCAGGTGGCCACCTCAAGACCTCGGAGGCTGAAATAGAATCTCAGCCCTAGGTAGATGAGGCCCATTGAAATGAATGGGACTGGTCGGCCATGAATGCCATACAATTTCGTCAACAGAAAGCATTGTGGGTCTGGACAGAATAGACGGCCAGAGGCCTGAAAATAAGGCCAGTTCATTTCAATGGGTCGGCTCTATTCAGGGGTAAAAATTAGATGTAACCGGCTTCTTGGGTCAATCCCAGGTAAAGAGAGAACTGCTCACTTCCCCTTCCTGAAACCCACGTTTTCTTGATTTTCCATTTCCCTTCCTCCGATTCAGGCACAGGTAAGGAGCATTCCCAGCCTTTTCCCAGCAGCTAGATTTTTAATTCCGTAGCATCCCCAGCTGCCCACACCTTAAGGCCAAGCCCAGGGCACCCAGTCCAGAACTGCTTAGGGCCCTTCTTCCTGCCTCCTGCCTTCTTAACCACGCTTCGGCCATGCCCGTCATACCAAGGAACGAGAAAAGGAAGCAATCTCCACTCCCGCCGCTGCCGCCGGTCTGGGCCAACTGGACAGTATGCCCGACAGGCACCTTTCGACACCGAGGGCGTACAAATTAGCCGAACGCCGAGGAGTAACCTATACAGCAAGTAATTAATAGCACTGACTCCCAAGGTAAGAGCGCGCAGAAGGCGTAGGGTCGAAACAGGGGTCTCCCCTGAATTAAAGTTTAACTTACCCTTTATTGCAACCTACAAAAGCAAGTAATGAGCAGTAACATTTTTATTTCTGTTAAACTGTCATTTTAGGCAGAGCTGGAGATAATTACCTATTTCCACCGCAGTAAGGTTTTATCACCCTTAGTGAGGCATTTTCTAATTTAATATTTTTACTATATTATCATAAAACCTTGTTTCAGAGGGGAGGGGGTGGGGAGAGGGAAAGTTATCTCGAGCCATTGGCCGTAAAACATGTGAATACCTTGGTTTAATTATTTATACCTTCCTGGAAAAAAAAAAGCAGGGGGGAGGAGAAGCGCAGGTGCCGAGGCGCGCTGAAGGCATTCAGGTAGACCTGGTGGGCCCATCATCTCCTCTGCAGAGGGAAAAGAAGGCCTTGGCACAAGGTTGTAGGAAAAAGAGGGGAGGTGGAAACTGGCCAGGGGAATGTGTAAAAAATAAAAATAAGTATAGATGCCTCTTGTAATGAATAGATGCACAAACACATACAAATAAAAGGAACTGAGAAGGATCGCTCAACTGCAAGGATGGGAAGCTCTCTTGACATGCACAGGGAACAGAACGTCCCTCCTTAGGACTTCTGTTTGACACCCATGATTATGTCCAACTAGAGTTAGACGGGAGGGTGAGGTTTCTTTTATTGGTAAGTTTATAATTTTTTGTCAACTGTGGCAGTTTTTTTTTCATGAAGTATATCCATTTTCCCTCCTACCCAACCTTCCATGAGTTAAACATATATTCCAGTTACTGACTTAATTGTTAATGAATATGGTATGTGATCGTTTTCATACAGAAAACAATCACATACCTAGCTTTCTGTTTGGAAATAAAGCTCCCAGCTAGCACTGGGGCAGGAACAGGAAGTTTGGGCAGAGCTAGGCTTAGCTAAGCCTCAGTGCTTTCCAGCGGAGGCCTCTTCTCCCAGGTGAGGCACATTTTGATATCCGCAAACAGTCCCAGAATACCGCCAGATGAATGGAATGG